TTTAATCATAATTTAACCACAATTCTTATGACATGTTATCTCCAACTTTCACTGCATTCTATGCCGACACAAGATGAATCAAAACAAACCCACTACTATAGGGTATCTGACTGAAGAAATAAATCTTTTTGGTTATTATCAGAAAGAAAGATGCATTATTATCACTGCAAAAAACTACACACAGCTACAAGACCTAGCAGTTAACCAGGCAAACAAAGTAACCCAACTGGAAACCACACTGAGCCATCAAATAAATAAGATAAAGCTACCCAGACCACTAAGGAACTATTAACATTTCTTCAAGACAAATCCAAAGACAATTTGAGAATCTCAATATTAGATAAAAAGCAGCAGCAATCATAAAAAGATGTGATGGATCAACTCCAACTTAATGGCTCTTTTCATAAAAAGCTCTGTCTTTCATTCAGAAAGCCAGGTGAGAACTGTAAATTAGCATATGACGCTTCGAAAAATGAAATTCAATACAACATGGCATGTGTACATATCAGAGAAGTATACAGAATAGGCAAATCATGGGTTGGTGCCTCACGGTTCATGGTATATGAGAACTTCTCATGGAGACTTACTATCATTCATTCCACATCTTAAAGTAGAATTACTACAACTCAATCTTTTCCTCACCTCAATTACACGACGATCCTTAATTAAACTTTAATTTCGTTGAATAATCTTTGTAATTTGTATTTTTGCTACCACTAACTTCCTGACAAAACCTTTCTATACTCATACACTTAAAGAGCTCCACGTCTACAAAATCTTTTTAGTTTTAGTCCTGGTCAAAACCTGCACAGAATATAGTGTACGCTACAGGTTTCTTCAAAAATTATACGAGGCTGGGTTTTTTTGAAAGTAAATGAGTGTAGTATGTAAAAGAAGTGACTGTTAATGTTGTGAAAAGAAGTGGCAAGTCCTAGCACAAAGCTAAAGGGGGTGGAAGAATTTCAATAGGGAGCAGTATATGGGGTTAAATCAGGGGTATCTGAGAGAATTATAGCTAAAGGAGAAGTAGCAAAAATATAAAATGATCAACTGTGGTATTACAAAATGGTGCATAAGTCTATAAAGTCAAGACTTAAGTGGATTAGAACAATGGTAGGATGTGAAGTAGGTGATTTTAAGTGTTTATATACCTGGGCAAGAGAGGTGTGTTGAAGAGAAAAATTTAAGAAGTTGTTAAATAAATGTTTAGGGAGTTTTGAATAAAATGAGAAAATAAATGTAGGGGACCTAAATGCTTAAGTGGGAGAAACAGCTGCAGAGGGTAAATGAAGTAAGTTTAGAGTGCCAGGGGTAAATGATAATGGGAAGAATCTAACTGAATTATGTATAGAAAGGTTTAATAACAGGTCACTTTTCATTTTTTTGGGTTTCACTGACATGACCCCAAATATTAAAAGCACTGACAATGTCATGATTTAAAAAATATTCCCCCCCCCCCCCAAAAAAAAGAGTATTTTTTGTTATAATAAGACCAACACAATAATTTTCCCTATCATCACTTACCAAGATATGAAGGATAGGAAAGGATGGAAGGAGAGGGGTAAAGCAGGTTTTGTATGCAAGGGGCTTGGACATACAGCAGGCATGTATGAGTGTGTGAGAGAGGAGTGGAGACATAATTTTTGGGACCTGATGACCTGTTGGAGTGTGAGTAAGGTAATAATTTGTGATGGGAGTCAGGGAAACCAGTTAGCTGGACTTAAGTCCTGGAGGTGAGAAGTAGAGTGCCTGCACTCTAACAGAGGGGTTTGGGATATCTGCTGTTTGGAGGGACATCTAAGCTGTCATATCTGCATACCTCTGGCATAGTGAGAGTAATGGTGAAAGTGTTTCTTTTTCGGGTCACCCTGCCTCGGTGGGAGATGGCCAGTGTGTTAAAAAAAATAAAAATAAAGACTTACCTGAGATGCTATAATATGGGCTTTACAAAAACAGATACAGTATCTTAAAGGTACTAATATACTTTTCTTTTTTTCAACACATCAGCCATTTCCCACCGAGGCAGAGTGACCCATAAAAAGAAGCAAAAACCTTTTATCAACATTCAACACTTTCACAATCATTCATATATAATCAATGTATTTGCAGGGGCACCCAGATGCGACAGTTTAGATATCACTCCAAATAGCCATTCTCATTAATTTTACTATTTTTAAATAAACATTATTAACATTTTTTTTTTTTTTTTTTTTTTTTTTTTTTTACAAGTTGGCCATCTCCTCCGAGGCAGGGTGACCCAAAAAGAAAGAAAATCCCCAAAAGGAAAATACTTTCATCATCATTCAACACTTTCACCTCACTCACACATAATCACTGTTTTTGCAGAGGTGCTCAGAACACAACAGTTTAGAAGCATATACATATAAAGATACACAACATATCCCTCCAAACTGCTAATACCCCGAACCCCTCCTTTAGAGTGCAGGCATTGTACTTCCCATTTCCAGGACTCAAGTCCGGCTATATAAAAATAACCGGTTTCCCTGAATCCCTTCACTAAATATTACCCTGCTCACACTCCAACAGCTCATCAGGCCCCAAATACCATTCATCTCCATTCACTCCTATCGAACACGCTGATGCACGCCTGCTGGAAGTCCAAGCCCCTCGCCTACAAAACCTCCCTTACCCCTTCCTTCCAATCTTTTCGAGGATGACCCCTACCCAGTCTTCCTTTCCCTACAGATTTAAATGCTCTCCATGACATTCTACTTTGATCCATTCTCTCTAAATGACCAAACCACCTCAACAACCCCTCTTCATCCCTCTGACTAATACTTTTATTAACTCCTCACCTAATAATTTCCACACCCCGAATTTTCTGCATAATATTTACACCACACATTGTCCTTAGACAGGACATCTCCACTGCCGCCAACCATCTCCTCATTGCAGCATTTACAACCCAAGCTTCACACCCATATAAGAGTGTTGGTACCATTATAGTTTCATGCATTTCTTTCTTTGCCTCCATAGATAACTTTTTTTGTCTCCACATATACCTCAATGCACCACTCACCTTTTTTCCTTCATCAATTTTACGGTTAACCTTTTTTTTTTTTTTCAACAAGTCGGCCGTCTCCCACTGAGGCAGGGTGACCCAAAAAGAAAAAATCCCCAAAAAGAAAATACTTTCATCATCATTCAACACTTTCACTTCACTCACACACAATCACTGTTTTTGCAGAGGTGCTCAGAACACAACAGTTTAGAAGTATATGTATAAAGATACACAACATATCCCTCCAAACTGCTAATACCCCGAACCCCTCCTTTAGAGTGCAGGCATTGTACTTCCCATTTCCAGGACTCAAGTCCGGCTATATAAAAATAACCGGTTTCCCTGAATCCCTTCACTAAATATTACCCTGCTCACACTCCAACAGATCATCAGGTCCCAAATACCATTCATCTCCATTCACTCCTATCGAACACGCTCATGCTGGAAGTCCAAGCCTCTCACCCACAAAACCTCCCTTACCCCTTCCTTCCAACCTTTTCGAGGACGACCCCTACCCCGCCTTCCTTCTCCTACAGATTTAAATGCTCTCCATGTCATTCTACTTTGATCCATTCTCTCTAAATGACCAAACCACCTCAACAACCCCTCTTCATCCCTCTGACTAATACTTTTATTAACTCCTCACCTAATAATTTCCACACCCCGAATTTTCTGCATAATATTTACACCACACATTGCCCTTAGACAGGACATCTCCACTGCCTCCAACTGCCTCCTCACTGCTGCATTCACAACCCAAGCTTCACATCCATATAAGTGTGTTGGTACTACTATACTTTCATACATTCCCTTCTTTGCCTCCACAGATAACGTTTTTTGACTCCACATATACCTCAACACACCACTCACCTTTTTTCCCTCATCAATTCTATGATTAACCTCATCCTTCATAAATCCATCCGCCGACACGTCAACTCCCAAGTATCTGAAAACATTCACTTCTTCCATACTCCTCCTCCCCAATTTGATATCCAATTTTTCTTTATCTAAATCATTTGATACCCTCATCACCTTACTCTTTTCTATGTTCACTTTCAACTTTCTACCTTTACACACACTCCCAAACTCATCCACTAACCTTTGCAATTTTTCTTTAGAATCTCCCATAAGCACAGTATCATCAGTAAAAAGTAACTGTGTCAATTCCCATTTTGTATTCGATTCCCCATAATTTAATCCCACCCCTCTCCCGAACACCCTAGCATTTACTTCTTCTACAACCCCATCTATAAATATATTAAACAACCATGGTGACATTACACATCCCTGTCTAAGACCTACTTTTACTGGGAAGTATTCTCCCTCTCTTCTACACACCCTAACCTGAGCCTCACTATCCTCATAAAAACTCTTTACAGCATTTAGTAACTTACCACCTATTCCATATACTTGCAACATCTGCCACATTGCTCCCCTATCCACTCTATCATATGCCTTTTCTAAATCCATAAATGCAATAAAAACTTCCCTACCTTTATCTAAATACTGTTCGCATATATGCTTCAATGTAAACACTTGATCTACACATCCCCTACCCCCTCTGAAACCTCCCTGCTCATCCACAATCCTACATTCTGTCTTCCCTCTAATTCTTTCAATAATAACCCTACCGTACACTTTTCCTGGTATACTCAGTAAACTTATTCCTCTATAATTTTTACAATCACTTTTGTCCCCCTTTTCTATTATTATTATTATTATTATTATTATTATTATTATTATTATTATTTTATTATTATTATGACAGAATATCAATTATCTGGCTTTTGGGTATTTGGCTTCCAACATTATCCAGCACCTAAATAGAAGTGACAAAGGAATGTGTAAAACACAGGAAACATAAATAAAAATTACTGTGATCATCCAGTGTTGTGAACACCCAGTGCTCATCTACCCCACCACCCCCAAGGGCCAGATAACCAACTATCTACCATATTATAATAACCGTAATACTCACAGACTCCGACTTTCTTGATCTTTGTGATGACGATACTTCTTCTTTACGTGTGATAACTGAGACTGGAGGTGGGGGTGGGGCAGACTCAGGTGGTGGTGGTGGAGGAACAACAGCTGCAGAACTGGGTGGTGGGGGAGGAGGGGCAGGCTGTACATTGGTAGATAATGACGCAGAGGGAGGAGGTACTGCATTAGGTGGAGTTGTAGAATCAGGGGAGTGACCAGAAGACTGCTTAGTGGCAGGTAGTGGAGGTAATGGTGGAGGCCCACCATCAGTTGTGCTGGTGCTGAAAGTAGCTGGTGATGTGTCAGGATTGAAAGCACTAGATGATGATGACGACGATGATGCTGGTGGAACAGACCGCTTTGGTAAGTACGATCGTGCTGTTGTTACTTGAAGAAACTTGTCTACAAAGGATTTTGTATCTGGAAAAAATTACTGAATATAGCTTACATGCTTATAATGTGTATGTATGTACTAAGCTTGTAAAAAAATAAAATTACTGAGGGTCATCCCATGTAGTCATTCTCAAGTCCAAAATTTAAATTTCATATATGTACCTGAATAGTGTAATATATAGTTGGAAAGCAAAGAATCTCTTGTTTGTAGCTCTGTTTACAGAATAAACAAAAATTCACTTTAGACAAAACAATTTTGACAGTTTTTGTAAAAGACAGTCTGTTAAACCTGATACGTTAGCATTAGCATATTTCATCTCAGTTATAAAATATGTGGTGATCATTAAAGTATACCAGTCCCCCTTTAATACCACAACCACAAAACAGGTCTTCCCTTGTGTTTAACTATTACAGCTACAAGCATCCTATAAAGTGCATATTACAACTATTATAATGTGCACATTTGGCCACTTTTGCACAAAATAAACAATGTAGACATTATTAACACAAACAATATTTTCCCTGTTCATGAATCATCTCCAGGCTTCTCCACTTGCCTTCCATGTTGAATTCACAATCATACAAAAAATAGAAGATTTACTCTATTTCTCGAATAATAAAATAAAACCTAGAATGATTGGTCATGGTTTATGGTGTCCCAGTAATTGAATCAGACCTAATAAAAACCCATAAAACAGACTAGGAGGTGCAGGGGATAGCCTTACCTATCCTCGGCAAAATTTGCAAAAATCTAATTTTTTCACTATTTTGAACCCAATTTCAAGCTACTTCTGGTCCTGAAACCAACCAAAATCTTCTCTATTTCAGCCAATAAAACCATAAAAACTAGAAAACATCTCAAAGTCACTATTTTAAATAAAAAAAGGTCAGTCAGTTTAGTTGTTCTGCCTGAACAGCTAGTTTGTTGTGCATCTGCAGATCATTCTGCAAGCAGTAATGCAATAACTAGGATTACAGAGGTTACAATGGGTCTTTGCCAGATCCCAATAAGCACTGTTACATTACCAGAAAGAAATGTTAGTCATTTCATATTCTGCAGTGACTTCATGTATGTAGCTGTTCATAGCACAGTATGGAATACAAAAAAAAAAAAAAAAATTCTTATCACTACTAAAAAAAAAAGGTCATATTTGCATTGCAATCTCTAAAAAAAAGTTAATGCATCCAGTTGATACAAAAATGTGTAAACCACCTCAACATTTCAGATACAGTAGACCCCCGGTTTTCGTAATTAATCCGTTCCAGAAGGTTGGCCGAAATCTGAAATGGCCAAAAACCGAAGCAATATTTCCCCAAAGAAATACAGTAATGTAAATCCAATTAATCCGTTTAAGACACCCAAAAATATTAACAAAAAATACATTTTATAGAGAATAATTATAGTTTTACATACAGAAAACAATGAGAAATAAATATAAATGACTAATTTTAATGATAAATGAACATTACATACCTTTATTGAAGACTCTTGTTGGTGTGTAGTATTTATTTGTAGTCCCAGGCGGACTACATTTCAGGTGTATACTTACCGGCTACATACACTGTGGCCTACAGCCATATTATTACCATCGACATACCATGTTCACTGAGTTTAATCGTCTCTAATAACTACCTTTAGATGCCATCATAAACAAAGGGAGAAAAATGAATAATTCATGCCAAGAACTGTAAACAAAAGTTTATGCATTAAGGGCAGTTACTGGGCTAACGCAGGTTCATAGAGTTTTCTCTTTTGCTAGACTAGAGAAAATGTAATGTTTACCCTCCACTGCATATAAACATTGCATGTTTATATGCTATGAAACTTGTATCTTACATAATTTTGAAGAAAATATCAAAGACGGATTAATGAAAATGTCTATATTAATGTAAAATAAGACATTTAATGTTTCCCAAGAGTGAGTCAGAAATGTATGAGTGGCCTAGGCAGATGCGTCTGGTACCAATGATTTCCGAGTGGATGTACAAAACCCAGGGGGAAAATTTCGCTGTAAAAAAAGTGCTCGAAATCCGAATTGTTCGATTTCTGCACAGGCCTAAAACCAGATGTCCACTGTACAGTGGTACCCCAAGTTTCGTACAGCTCCCAACTTGAACAATTAGGAAGTGTATTACTGTAAGTGCTTTCGTAAGTGTATTTTTGGGGGTCTGAAACAAACTAATCTAATTTACATTATTCCTTATGTGAACAAATTTGTTCGGTGAAAGCACTCGAACAGCCTTCTGAAACGTAACTCAGCCTTATGGCCGTAACTCAGGGCACCACTGTATCTTGTTATTAACAATCAGGTGTTTTGTTATATTCTGTAAGGTTTGCATGGACACTAAGATAAAATGCTCCAGTGTAAGGTCCTCTGTCCACACACTTGGCATTTTATATCATTGACATCTCCAGGCAAACAGTATGGACAGAGATACTTATAGCCTAGCTTAAGTGTAGCAGTACATCATCTAGCAATCTACTGACCTTGTTACCTTCTTCATAGATATTTTTAACTTAACATTTCATTATAATGGATAATGGATCTGCCAGTTCCTATCTGTACTATTCTACTTTCTCCATTAAGCTACTCTCAAACTGCGGCATATTTTCCATTTACATTTGGTAAAATTCAATTTAAACTGTTCTGCTTCTCAATAGGAAAAAAATTGCAGCACCACAAACTGGATGAATGACTTACTGACTGACCTGATTTAGTGATTTTCTGAATGACTTGACTGACATGATTAAACTGATTTACTGAATGACTTGAATTACTGACTTGAATGAGTGACTTACTGAATTCAATGACTGTACTAACTTGACTGACTGACCTGACTCACTTGACTGGATTACCATCCACCTCAGCCCAGATGGGCCTCAGCATGCCTCTCCAATCCCTCTTTCACAATCATCGACAAACACTAGCAACCACAATTTAACCCTTTCAGGGTCCAGAGGCCAAATTTCGAAGTGCACACGGGTGTCCAAGAATTTTCAAAAAATAATTTTGCTATTTTTTCTTATGAAATGGTAGAGAATCTTTTTCTGAAGGTAATAAAACAAAAAGTACGAAATTTGATGGAAAACTGACAAAATTATGCTCTCGCAAATCTTGATGTGCCAGCGATATTTACGCATCGGCAATTTTATCGACTTTGACTCCCATTATAGGCCAATTACCTTATTCCAGTCGATCAAATTCTTAGCTATTTCACTAGTATTACTTCTATTCTATCGATTAAGCACAAGAAATCGCCAACTCAGCTGTTTCAACTACAAAATAAAGTGACTGGAAATTGGTAATTTGGCCAATTTAGTGCAAAGTTCAAAATATTCGAATTTCAAAATAGGATCCAGAATAAACAATGCAGGCATTCCTGGCACTAAACATTTCCTCTGTTCATTAGTTACATTTTCAGGCTTTACAAATGAATTCTATTTTGATTTTTAATTCACATAATGAATTTTTATTCAAACCAAAAAAATAGAAGATTTACTGTCATGCAATATTGTAATAATTGTATAAATAATATCAGCACATTTGTGAACGTATATTAGACCCACCAGCTGGCGTGTATTAGACGTGTGAGGTCATTTGGTTTACTCTTGGACATCAGCAAAAATTTAACATTTCTGCTACTTTGAGCTCAGTTTCAAGCCATTTTCAATACTAAAACCAATCAAAATCATCTCTATTTCTGTAATATACCTTCCATTCTATCAAATGATACCAAGAAATCGCAAATACAACTAAAAAAACATACGAAAAAACACTGCAAAGTTGCTGTTTTAATTGAAAATTACGGTCTCAGTTTTTTCTCATTATGCACTGTGTGCTGCAGGATTTGTTTTATGTGGTGCACACATACCACATAGATGTATTCTCTCATATCTAGGCCCAAATTTACCGCTCACAGCTTATCAGAGTGAGATGAGCTCATGGCATAGATCTACGGTTTGGACCCTCAACATAAAGCCATAGATCTACGGCACGGACTCTCAAAGGGTTAAGGTAAGAAATATTATTTCTGTTGCATTTTTAGCCTTAAGCAGCAGAACAAAAACACACATTGTAACAATAATGAACAATAATTGCATTAATATTTTTATTTTTCTAAGATTTGGAGACCTAAAACAAAAGTTGTTTGGCTTTCTTTTGGGGGAGGGGCCAGGAACATAACCCTATTTTTCCCATAAGTTCTTCAGTTCCTTTCACGCGGATTTTGTCTAACACTGCATTTTCAGGACCCTAACTACTCTCTTAATCTATGGTCTACTTTATATACTTGTCTATATCAAATATGCAGTTGTTAATATGTATACAGGCTATGAAAGGGAATATGAAGTCAGCTACACGAGAAAAAAAGTTTTCAAAATGACGTTGATCAGAACATAAACTGGCTTCACAAAAACTAACACATCTTTCCACAACCAGTACAAAACAGAGCTACAATATGCATTACTCAATACTCTTTACATATGTTCTCCACTCCATCACTAGTGTAGTTTAGTGTTGTGTGGGGGTGATGTGTAGCAGTTGGCACAGCTTCAACATTCCAGCATTCTTATATAAGGCATAAAAAATATCTTTTAGCATTTGGCCAGCACCAACAGTCTGGCCACCAACCAAGAGACCAGGTCTGGTACAGACCTCACAAGGGCAGTGATTCCTGGAATCATCTTTTGGTAACTTACAAAATCGTAACAATACAATTATAAACAAATCACAGAACAGGTGGGGGTTGAACCATTGCAAGCCAGTGTTACAACTAGCAAGCCAGTGTTACAACTAGCAAGCCAGTGTTGCAACTAGGAAGCTAGTGTTAGCAACTATTGCAACTAGGAAGCTAAGTATTAGCCAGTGTTGCAACTAGCATGCCAGTGCAGTAATCACTACCATGCTGGCTTAACAACAGTCATCCAACTAGATATATTTCTATACACCACAGAAAGACTAGCATGGATCACACAGTGACTACAAATTCATGTTTTAACAGATGACTCATACACCAGCATGACTGTGGCAAGCTCTAGGTCAAATCCCCTCAAAGCTATTACGTATTATGATGCAAGGATAGCTTACTGCCCTGCTAGTTTTAGGACTAGCTTGCCCTAAGTTTAAACCCCCACCTGTTCTGTGTTTTCTTCAGATAACCTTCAGGAAACAATATAACATAGGGTTATTTTCAGTTAGGTGATGTTAGGCTTCTCCTCACTGATTGATGCCTTGTTATTATCTGTAGGATCACACATTCATGAGTTCCAATATTTTTAATCACCAAAATTATTATTTTTAAGACATCTGAAATTTTATTTGTTTTCTCACATTTTTAAATAATCCATTAATAGTAAAGGAATATCTAAACACAATTTCAAAATAAATATGACTGTGCTCTGAAGACCAGGAATCAGCAGAGGCTGTCAACAGTGGCTAAGAGGCAGGACCAGGAAATATGAATCAACCCCCTGCAAACACAACTAGCCAAGTATATTACATATACAGTGGACCCCCGCATAACGATATTAATCCGTTCCTGAGAGCTCATTGTTATGCGAAATTATCATTATGCGAATGAATTTTCCCCATAAGAAAAAATGGAAATCAAATTAATCTGTGCAAGACACCCAAAAGTATGAAAAAAAAAATTTACCACATGAAATATACATTTTCCTACACACAAAGAGAAGGATACATGCACAATAGTAGAGTAGTACATGCACAATATATATTGTGCATGTACGACTCTACTAAATGAAGAATAAATGACACTTACCTTTATTGAAGATGCAGCAATGACTGATGAGACACTGTGTCCTGGGAGTGCCTTTTCCTCCTGAGTACTGTAGGTCCTGTTTGGCATTTTCTTCCAGAACAGGCCTTATCACACTGTGTATGCCACTACGATTCTTAAATCTCTCAAACCAACCTTTGCTGGCTTTAAATTCACCAATATGAGCACTAGTTCCAGGCATTTTTCCCTGTTCACCTGGGTGTTAGTCGACTGGTTTGGGTTGCATCCTGGGAGACAAGATTAAGGACCCCAATGGAAATAAGTTAGACAGTCTTCGATGACACTGACTTTTTTGGGTTATCCTGGGTGGCTAACCCTCTTGGGTTAATTGTTTATTGGCATTCTCAATAAGCCACACCAACAACGGTGCTACAGCAGCAGCAGCAGCTGACAGTGCTACAGCAGCAGCAGCAGCAACAGCTGACAGTGCTACAGAAGCAGCAGCAGCAGCAACAGCTGACAGTGCTACAGCAGCAGCTGACAGTGCTACAGCAGCAGCTGACAGTGCTACAGCAGCAGCTGACAGTGCTACAGCAGCAGCAGACAGTGCTACAGCAGTAGCAGACGGTACTACAGCAGCAGCAGCAGCTGACGGTGGTACAGCAGCAGCAGCAGCAGCATCAGCAGTTGACCATGGTACCACAGTATTTCGATAATATTTCTCACCCTTTTTACCACAGGGTTGGCACAAGAAGCTTTCTTGGGGCCCATGGTCACTTATTTTGCAGATAAAATCACCAAAAACACTGTAATAATACAAAATGTTCCGATTGTATGCTTGGATGTTACCGCGGAGGCTGGCTTGTAAACAATGCCACCTGCGGAACATGTGAGGCTGGCTCAGGCCGCACATTAGACGCGTCTCGGACGAATAGCGTTGAGCGTGTTTTTTAGCGGTATGCGAGGCAAAATCTTAGTGATAAAATGTATCGGTATGCGGATTTAACGTTATGTGATGCCAACGGTATGCGGGGGTCCACTGTATTCCATTACTTCTTTACATACCTCGAAAAAATAACATTGATTATTCAGAATTTTTAATATCCATCAACACCGAAGTGACCACTGTACAACACACAGGTATTTTAACCAGACACTGAAATCTATAATACAGCTCAAGTCCAACAAACTTACTTGACTGGAGGAATACATCCAGTTGCTCAATCATACTAGCCTTGAGTTCAGACACAGGCCGGTCTTTACGCACTAGGGCAAGACAATATTTGGCCAGTGCCTCAGGATCAGCATCACATCTACAGAAGAGAAAAACATTAAGTGAAGTATTATAATGGTTATTACAACAGATCAATGGAATATACCAAAGAAAAATTCCAATATCACCAATGGTGGGCTCAGCTTTGGTACCTGTGTGTTACCAATGCAACAGCACCAAAATAAAATAGCATGGCAAAAACTTGAAAATAATTTGCCTCATTCGACTAGACTACCAAGACCGTTATCAGGATCACTTTCAGACAAAGTTTATCCCCATACAGCATATCATGTATATACTGAACACATATTTATGTTAATATTAATAAATAAATATTCTTTTTACCTCACTGGTCATCTACCACTGAGGTAGGGTGACAAAAAAAAAAAAAATTATTATTCACACTGCGCCAGTACTACAGTACAGATGCCCCTCCAAACTACAAATATCCCCACCCCTCCTTCTGAATGCAGGCACTGTACTTCCTACCTCCAGGACTCGGGTCCAATTTACCGGTTTCCTTGAATCCCTTCATAAATGTTACCTTGCTCACTCTCCAACAGTACATCAAGTTATATATATGCAATAAGATAACAGTAAACAAGTGATCTCACAATATGAATAATACCCATAGTGAAAAATAGTGAAATCCCAAGCACTTTGTGATTTCTCATATTATCAAGAAATAGTAAAAACAATAGAACAAAATATTTATTAAGCAGAGCTATGACCTTAGTGATCCTGCTCACAGAACATGAATAGCATCACTAAGTTTGTTGGTGAAGCTGAAGTATGAATATTAATAAGTATTTGTTTTTGAAGACTAATAGTTCAATGGCATTCTTGATTTTTCAGCAAATAATTAGTAACTCTTGCAACAAAATTCTGGCTTTTGCTCAGAATATTTTGTAATATGTACTATCTTTTCAACTGATAGGACAAAGCTTTGCAATCTTTTTTTTTTTTTAACCCTGAAAAGTTCTTTAGAAAATTTTTATTCACTTTGAAGCAGAGAAGCTGTGGATACAATCATTGCTTGTAGATGAATGGTTCAGAGAACCGGCACGTTGATAAATTAGACATGTGCAACTCTTGGGTATCTTTATTGAGGAAACATTTTGCCACACAGTGGCTTCATCAGTCCATACAAAGGAGAAACGTGAAGAACAGGAGGAGAATGAGGTAATCAGTCCCTCAACTAGACTCAAGGTTGAGGGACTTATTACCTCATTCTCCTCCTGTTCTTCACGTTTCTCCTTTGTATGGACTGATGAAGCCATTGTGTAGTGAAACGTTTCCTCAATAAAGATACTCAAGAGTTGCACATGTGTCTAATTTATCAACGTGTCAGTTCTCTGAACCATTCATCTACAATCCTGTCAGACACTGCAATTTCTTGGGATCTTAATACTTGGGAATTCTTCGCTTGCCTAACCCTTGGGCACAACCTACTTCCACATTGAACAAGTGTGACACCACCTACGTCTGCTGCACCTCTCCTGCCTACGGTATATAAGCGACTTCTCCACACACATGCTGTATTCTATTCAAGATTGATGGACTGACCACATCGACTCAAGGTTGAGGGACTGATTACCTCATTCTCCTTCTGTTCTTCACGTTTCTCCTTTGTATGGACTGATGAAGCCACTGTGTGGCAAAACGTTTCCTCAATAAAGATACCCAAGAGTTGCACATGTGTCTAATTTATCACAATCATTGCTGGAACCGTTAATTCACAAAGGCTAGCTACTTCACTGCAAGCTTTTTGCAAGTCATTTTGTGCCATAAAAATAATTTTTTTATACTTTTTTATGTTTGGTTTTTTTGGATAGGTAAGCAATTCTAAGCTGTGACTACGAAGATAAAAAAAAAAATCTAAGAAAATGCTAAAGTTATATTCAGTGAGTGAAAAGCTAGCTTTGGAAATACAAACTCTTTTAAACCCACAATGATGGAAAGAGTAATAGCTCTAAGAATTCTAATGAATTCATACAGTAGAACTTAGGTTGTCGAATTTAATGTGTTCCAGATGTCAATTCGACAACCAAAGCAATTTTCCCCATACAGAATAATGTAAATAGAATTAATCCATTCCAGACCCCAAATGACTATATAATAATTTATTAAAAATGTACTACTGTACTACATAAAATTGTAAAAATGAATACTACAAGAAAGTAACTGAAATACTGTACAGTAAATGAAAGTTTAACTGCCTCTTACCTGTCGGAGGAGAGCTAATGGCATATAGCAAGGAGGTGGAGGAGAGGGGGGAGGTATGTTACTGCTTGCTTTTATTAATGTCAGGCAACTCCTCCAGCAACTCTTTTTTTCAAGCTTGGAGGATGAGCAAGAGCATTATCCATAAGTAAAACGGCCTTGAGTGGCAATTGTTTTTTAATGAGGTACTTTTTGTAAGTGGGAGCAAAGACCTCATGCACCCTCATTTATCCAAATCAACAAGTTTTTCAGCTTTTTCAATAATTTGTGGCCTTTGCCTTGATATCACTTTTGCACCTTTACCTTTGATATAGTATACCTTTGAAGAATTTCGAGAGTATACCTACTCTTTGAGCCCTTTTGCAAGGTCAGCTGCTTTAATTTTTTTACCTTTGGCCCAGTATCATGCTAATGGCAGACTTAATTTACCAAAAAGTTTTGCTATATCAACCAAGCAGGGCCTATCTTCTTCACACTTCCTAATGACTTATTGTTTAAACTCAACAGAGCTTTTTACAACTTTTCTTTTTGCTTTCATCTTTTTATCCTTCTTTGAACTCATGAAGGCTTATCTCACAATAAAAAAAATTGCACAAAAACCCATGAAACTCAGACCCACACTGTTGGCTCATTGTCCAGTGCGCATTCTGTGAGCACGTGACCCAAGCCGTTCATGTTGTCGGTCGACAACCAAGAGAATGTACGAAAACCAGGATATTTTTTCTCTAATTCCTCGTTCGAAAACCTATTTGTTTGACAAGTAATACGGTCGACAACCAAGGTTCCACTGTATTTGCAAATTTATAATAACTTGGTTAAACATTGTCGTACTTCTGCTCTGTTGGTGGCAGCGATCTGTAGAGGATACCTACCTGGAGGGTATTCCAGGGATCAACACCCCCATGGCCAGGTCCATGACCAGGACTCCCAGTGGATCAGGACCTTATCAACTAGGCTGTTAGTGCTTGTCACACATAGTTCAACATATGAACTACAACCCGGTTGATCATGACTTTAGATATCTGTCCAGCTCCCTCTTGAAGGGAGTGAGCGGTCTATTGCTAATTCCCCTTATGACTGGTGGGAAGCTGTTAAACAGTCTTGGGCCCTTACTGTGTTTTCTCTTAGTGTACTAATGGCACCACTATTTTTCACTGGGGGTACGTTGCACTGCCTGCCAAGTCTTATGCTTTCGTACGGAGTGATTTCTATGTGCAGATTTGGGACCAACCCCTCTAGGATTTTCCAGGTTTAGGTTATGATTACTCTCTCTCACCTGCACTCCAAGTGATTTAAAAAGAATCATTACTGGCTTGGCATCTCTGGTTTTGAACATTCTCATTATCTATCCTATCATTTTTCTCAAAGATGTGACAATGGCACTGTTGTGATCCTAGGTGAGATCCTCTGGTCCTTCACATTACTAGGAGGAGAAACAACTTCCTAGGTGAGATCCTCTGGTCCTTCACATTACTAGGAGGAGAAACAACTGCCCAAATTTCTAGCAAAGGGAATTTTTTCAGTTATGACAAGTATTATTGAGAGGAAATTATATCATAATGTGTCTTGCACAATATTAGATTGAAATGAGTCCTGCTTACTGGTACATGATTTGGAAAAAACTGTGCTAATATAATTTAAATTATTGTACTAGGTTTCAGCTTTATGTCTGGCAGTGGTATATAATTTTACTCAGCAGGAGAGCAGACAACGATACTGCAGACCCAATGTCGCATATCTCAAGGACAGATTTTCAATTATCAAACACCCCTGAATAATAAATTTCAAAAGTTTCAACTAATTTTACACTAGATTTAGTCACAGAACAACAAAATGATATATATTTAAATAGATACATTTAATTCTGAAGAGAAGAATTGTAATAGGATAAGCTTACCTTGCTTCATGTAAGTGCACACCACTGCTAATACTACAACCCCTTTGATCCCCCCCCCCCACACACCCACCCCATATCTCTACCTCCTATCAGTTTGAAGTCTAATACAGTTTACTAATGGCTCTTGATTGACTTAGCTAATGCTACCACTCATGTCCTAAAAATGTGCACCCCATCCCATGCATACCTATACTTACCAGAAATTGTCCCACCTGTCAATGAATGGAATTGCAAGTACCTTGCAGTGTACTTATCTAATGACCAGTTTACATCAATTGCCCTAGACATTCATTCACCGCCCACTGCTCTTCTTGGCAAAATACTACAGATGATTTGGAACCTTCCCCCAACCTACTGCATTTTTCGGCATAAAAGGTGTGCTTCCTCCCCTCCCCCCACCCCAAAAAAAAAAAACTTGGAAAATCACCTTGCCCCTTATTCCATAAATTATCCAAATGTAGATCTACATTCACGTGTAAAAACAAACGTAGATCTACGTTTGGACAGTTTAAGGGTTAAATGCTCAAGGTCAAGGGTAGGCTTTGGGGTTACTGGCCAGTAGTTTTCGGTGTTAACAGGACATACCAGTAGTACTTTCTTGACAATAAAATACCACTTCAGCAAAAATCCGACTAATAAGTTGTGACCAAAGATGTAAGCACAAACTGGTGGTTGCTTGTACAACAAGTCAGACTGCAAGAAGCCCCTATCATGTGCTTTTAACATCCTATGGAGAGGGAGCATGGACACAGGGGTCGTCCCACTGCTGCTAAAAACAACAGACATAGGATATCTTCATATTTGACAGACAAGGATGTAAGTCACAGCACCATGTCTTCCTTTGCAGATAACACCCAAATCTGCATGACAGTGTCCTCCATTGAAGACACTGCAAGCCTCCAGGTGGACATCAACCAAAT